AGGATTACGATTTGATTTTGCAACAGCTCACAAGTCGAAGACACCAGAGCTGTTGATATGCGTGACTAATTGTTCTCGGAAAACAGCCTCAATTCCGGGAAATGTCGGTAACATTTAAAGCAGAATATAGGATAATATGGAAATATAGTCGTACATCTAATATCTAATCAGATGAGAATTCAAAACCAAAACAAACAAAAAACAAATGGTCTTAAACTTTTGTATGGTATGGTGACCGGCAAAAGGTATCTTCTGCACTTTTTTTATTTCCGCGCAACGCTAGAACGACCGATTAATACGTTTTTCTAACCGAGTGGTATTGCAAAGTAACACTTTCCATCCAACATGATTGTTGTTTATCCTTTCAACTGTTGCCTTACTTATAAGCTCAGTGACGGGTTTACAGTTAATTTTAAAATGCACCACAATTCAATAAGATTTGAAAACTACCAAAATAATCTCGTTAATCTGCACGTCTGAATCAAATGGCTATTTGGGTGGACCCAAATGAAATAAATTTGACGTTGATTCAGACGTCGAATTTTATGTGTATCTCGAAAGTGCTGGGTTGGTGATAGGAAATACGTTGAAATAATCTATGTAGTAGATCCAGCGCATGAGAAGTTCGACGTCTGAATGAGAGTCGCACTTTAGCCGTTTTATGCGACTGAGCCGGTCGAATTCAATAGCTGGGCCGACCCAAATCAAATTCGTCGAATTTAATTAATTCAAACGTCCAACTTTTCACGCGCCGAATCAAATCATTTGATTCGGCGCATGAACATCTCGACGTTTGAACTGTGTTTCTTATTTGTGTCGTAGCAGCTGGAATAGTTCCACGTTTACAAATTTATCACTGATTCCCAGCCGGGTTTATTTAGTTACTCTTTATCAGACCTTTTTAAAACGTGTATTGCATATCTTCTGGGGCGGTCAGAGCAAATAGTTCTCATCCTGACTTGTTTCTTTTAAGGAATTTGAGAAGATGACAGAGTAAAGCATAAGTCTAGCGAACGATCATTGCCATATGGGTATGTATCATTTATTCATTCTGTTTAGCAAATGTAAAAGACCTTTCAGTTTGCATGACATAGAAAAAAACGCATAAGAAAACCAAAATGATGAGCAACGCCTTTTCTTTCCTACCATCCTTCCTTCCTCCCTCCTTTTTGCCTTCCTTATCAGTTTCTTCCGCTTCAGTCCGTACTTCCGTCCTGCCTGCCTCCTGCTTGCCTCCTTGCCAGCCTGCCAGCCTGTTTTCCTTCCTTTCATCTTACCTTCCCTCCTTTCTCCCTTCTTGTCCACCTGTCTGCTTGCCCGCTTGCCTGCCTTCCTGCCGCCTACTCTTCTTTACTCCCTTTCATTCTTGGTTAAATTACACGCAAATGGTTTCTGTTTATGTAGCGAGCGGCGAAGACGAAGGGTTCGATTTGATTCAGCCATCGCTTATCCAACAGTTGAGGAAAATTCTAGATGAGTATCCGGATGACGGACAAATACTTAAGGTAGATCAACTTAATTGTAATAGTTCCCAGTTATCCATCCTCACTGGTTAACGAGACATTGTCTGAAACGATATATAGCCATTTGATTTAAGCACAAAGAACACCATAAGAACTCTTCAGGGAAACAGAAAGTGTACAGTGACCACTTCCAGTTTGTTTTAAAAACACTGTAATGGTAGTCAGGGGATGACATTCTTTGTTAGTGGTTTGACGCTGACTAGTTTTTTAGATGTAACTTCAAAGACGTTTGGGCTAATACTTAAGCCTTCATCAGTTTAAAAGATAAAGCTTTACACGTGATTTGAAAAAAGGCGGCAGTACGTTGAACGCGCGCTGGAAGAAACGTTACGTGCAAAGTTTAAAAAACGTAGCGTGGGACGCACGCACGTGCCAAGGATTTGTAGACTTCAGGGATCGCGATATGGTCGTTCCCAGACTGCGGATCCTTAATGGACAACCAAGGCTCCAGAAAAAGTCGCCCGCGGACTCGGAAATTCGGTTCGTGGAAAGACAGTAGCTATGTTCGATAACGACTCTAAAATTTCCTGTCATGTCCACGAAAAGAAACATCAAATGGACTTTCTAGCAGTTACAGTTGTTGGACACAAACCAAATTTCCACGAGCGACTCTTTCTGGAGGCTTGGTTGTCATGGGAACGATCATATCGCGATCCCAGAAGTTTACAAATCCTTGACACGTACATTAGCCCCACGCTACTTTTTTCAAACTTTGCACTAACGTTTCTTCCAGCGCGCAGGTTCAACGTACTGCCGCCTTCTTTTTTTTCAAATTACGTGTAAAGCTTTATCTTTTAAACAGATGAAGGCTTAAATATTATCCGAAACGTCTTTGAAGTTGCATCTAAAAAACAAGTTAGCGTCAAAGCACTAGCACTTCCCATGATTTATGTGATTGATACTTCTGTACAAACATAAACGGAATTCCTCTACAAGTCTGAACAACAACTTGCTACAGAGATGTGGTGGCCTACTGGTGGCATAAACTATACGAAGCAGGCTAATTACAGTTACAAATACCACTCATCCTATTTGAACATCAACTCTTCTCCTTCCAGGAACTCATTCAAAATGCTGAGGATGCAGGGGCCACTCATGTCAAGTTCTTGCACGACAAAAACAGCTACGGGAAAGCACAACTTTATGACAAGAAACTCGAAAAGTTTCAGGTAAGAGAGAGGCTAGATATTGTATTAAATTTCCTGGCGTAAGAACGTGTAAACTATTTTCATTTGAAAATTGATAAAAAAAAGGAAAGGAATTAAATGGTTGTCACTGGCTAAAAATATGGTTATCGGACGTTTCGGCCACTACTGTTGCCTTCTTCAGCAAAAGATGGAAAAT